TTGGATCGCATCCTTTAACCTCCAACACTTCTCAGTATTATGACCCTTGCCTTGATGAAACTTGCAATAAGCATTGGGGTCATAGCTAGCGGTTCTATTTTCTGGTCGAGTTCTAGAAACGGTCCAATTGGCATAATCAGTCCTTGACCATGCAAACGGTCAAAAGCGGCATCATAAGTCATTCCCAAAGGCGTGTAAACCCTCCTTTGCCTTTGGAATCTTTGAGGAGGAGCATTAAGGGCTAGCACATCATTGATATTGATATTGTTGGTAGCATTATTGGGCTTGGAAGACGAAGAAGAAGGAGTGTGGTTCTTCTTGTTTTTCCAAGTGTTGTTGTTATTATTGTTGCTAACAACAGTCTTCATCAGTTCATATTTGATATTGATTCCAATATCGTATACAGCTTCAAAGGTAGTCAAAGGCAGAAACTTCAAGTGTTGCTTGTACTTATGAGTCAAATTGGCAATAAACAAGCAAACCATCTCTTTTTCCTTGGGGGGATCCACCAAGAGCGCAGCTGTTTCCCTCCACCTACTTAAGTAAGTGGTGAAGCCTTCATTCTCTTTCTATTTGAGAATGGAGAGTTCACGTTCAGAAGTCTTGGCCTAAATGTTACACTTGTAACGATTCATGAAGCTTTCAGCAACATCCTCCCAGGTCGCAACATGTTTGGATTCCAGAGAGTAGAACCATTGTTGACAGGCATGCTCTAAGGAAAGAGGGAACACCGCAGGGAAGAGTGTCACATCTACTCCCTTAAGAGCCATGGTCGCAGAAAAGGCCTTCAAATGGAAAAGCGGATTATTAGTAGGCTTGAAATTTGGGAATGTCAGCAGTGGAAAACTTCTCAGGAAGCTTGTCCCTTATGGACGAAGAGGCGACAGGTTGCTCCATATAAGTGAATTCTTCAGAAATCTTACTCATCTGTTCCTTAATCTAGTCCATTGCAGCGGTAGTGACACTGTTCTGATTGTCTTGCTCTACCGTGTTGACTCTAGTGGTGAGTTTTTGAATCATGTTAGACAACATTTCAATTGTCATGTTGATGTTCTCGATATCTTCCTTAGTAGCCATTGGTTGAAAGTAGAGTGGAGATGGATCTTGTGGAGATGATTGTGGTGGTTTCCTTTTACGCCTTTTTGGTATAAGAAGTTGTTGAGGTATTGACTCGAACCGTAACAATCTACCCCTGCTTCTTGACCAAGTGCTGTGACACCGAAACAAACACACCTTTAATAACAAAACTTAGCCTTAACCCATCCGGAAAAAAAAAAATTTGAATTTTGAATTTCTATTTACTTATTTTGTGTTTTTTAAAAGAAATAAAATATATGGGAGGATACCATCCGACTTACTCCTAAAAAAAAAAACGACACAAAAAAAACGACAAAAGACTACCCTAAAATACGGTCATGAAATAATGCACGGAAAAAATTATGTGAACACGACATGTGAGTGATTAAGTGAGGTTATGGACGCGTGTTATGATCGTACAACTAGACATGACACCAAACTGGACACATAAACCACATACGTACGCACAAAAACCAAAAATAGACTGACGGGACATTTCTCCTGGGCATCGTGTCACGGTTCTGACTGTCGTGACACGGTGCAGTCTACCGTCAAACGGTAGAAAGCGCCGTGACGGTAGAAAGCGTCGTGTCACGGCAATGTTCACCGTGGCGCGGCAGGACTTGCTGTGACACGGTGCTCAGTTCCAGGTGAGTTTTTCCAGATTTTAATCGATTTTAGGTCCGTACTAATTAGTATGTGGAAATAAAAACCCTCGGTCATGGGTTAAACAAAAAGAGCAAACACATGAGGATAACACCAAACAAACCATGTAGCATTTAGTCACGATGATGTAAAAAAGAGTTCGCAACCTAAGGTCAAGATCTATGTTCAACTATTGGTGAAGCTTTGGGTGTCAAAAGGGTACCATGGTTAAGAGTTTGGACGCGTTAGCAAGGCAGCCTCCCTTGAGAGTGTGTCCCAACGGGCGGCTCCGCGAGTTCATGATGAAATCGAACTCGACTCCATGGTTTGGGTAGATTTAATAACTCGGATGAACTCTTATTGCCATGAGCGTTTTTGGGTTTATAGAGCTTAAATCCCCGGGGGCTAAGACGCATGTAGAACACACACGTTTTTTCAGAAAAATCAAAGGAAGTGGACTGTGAAAAGAGAAAACAAGCCACCAGACTGATTTTAGGCCTGCCGTGACACGACAAAGATTCCTGTGCCTCGGTACTGCACACCGTCAAACGGTGTACTGCACCGTGACACGGCAGATTCTTCCGTGGCACGGCAGTCAGAAAATCTGACTGGTGCCTTGTTTTCTTTCGTGCGCAATCAAGTTATTCAATTTTTCCTACGGGACAGACCTAAATGCGACGTTAAATCGTCTAAGCTTATGCAAAAATGCCAAATTAATCACAGGAATTTTTTCAAGAACCTTTCAAGTCTCATCCACTCATCTTAATTAAATGTCGATCACTCAAATCGATAAATAACCAAGAATCCTCCCTAGTGAAGTCACCAAATTGTAGGCGTCGCTCGAAGTGCGCCTACGTTAAAGCATGTGGGAATATGCTTGGCACTCATAGGAAGTGGGAATTGACATATACGATTAGGGACAAATAAAGTAGGGAGCCGCCAACAAGTTTTTAAGGAACTTGTAAACCGTTCACGGATCATAAAAGGCAACCACGAATAAAGGGACAACGATAAGAAACAACGATTGACCTGTGAAAGTTACACCCCATTCATAATCCATGAGATTACTAACTCCATATGGTTCGGAACCACGAAAGGAGGATCGGGGGTGATGGTACGAAGTGAGTCATGGAGTCACATTCGCCCGTATTGGCCTCTACTTGATTCTTATAGTGAAAAGTGATTCCTGCGATCTCAAAGGCATGCAAACAAAATATTCAATTTGCTCCAAACTATTATTAAGATAAATTGGTTGAATATTAATGCAACACATTATTCTAAAATATCGTGATCACTTCAATTAACAACAAGATTAAAAAGGAACCTAAACCGGTTGTCCAAATTATCTTATTAGGCGTGATTTTCAATTACATATTCCCTTTAAACATGCAATGTGGTGATCATAATAATAATAGAACAAACATTAATATTGGAAGCAATTTAGCAATAATTACAACAATATAAAATCGTTAGAAAAAATAATTGAAATAAAAGAAACATAATTCTTACTTTGATTCTGTTTGCTTGCAACTTTCACGCCTTGGCTTAAGGACAAAACCACGAGTAAAGTATGGACTCCTTGGAGTGCTTGAAGAAGGAATTTTGAAAGAAGAAGGGTAGTCTAGTGTTTAGGCTAGAGCATAGAGGAGAGAAAAATAGAGAATTAATTGATGCCCCGTACATCAGAAATGAGGGGGTATTTATAGAAAAAATATGTTGAGGGAACACACGGAACACTAAAATGATAAAAACCCTAAAAAAGTAAACCGCGACACGGCACTGTGTACTGTGACACGGGAATTCCCATCGTCAGACGGGAAACATTCCCGTGACACGGTGTACTGTTGTGTGACGCGGGAAATATTCAGTGAACGGGAAAGAAAACGCGTTAAGGGTTTACACGGAAAGGACACGGAAACTCCCGTGTCACAGCAGGTTTCCCGTGTCACGGGAAATCCCACCGTCAGACGGGAAAGTTTCCCGTGGCACGGTGGACTATTGCCGTGACGCGGGAATTTTTAGTCCGTTTTTCCGTCTAAATTCATTTTTAACCCTAATTTCGTTCAGCATTTTAAGTGCCGATTGATAATTTCGGGCCATTTCTGATTTATTATTATTTGGGCTAAAATAAGAAAATAAGTAAATAAAATAAATAAAAGGTTTGGGACAAAATAAATAATAAAACAATAAAATAAAAAGGGTTTGGGCTGAAATTAAAAACTATGCTTTGACTAAACATTAAGACTGATTCATGGACTATTCAAAAAAATGAATTTAATTAAATACGATTTTTTAAGCACTTTCGGGATTTAATACTGAACTCGGCCAATAATGGCGGTGAAAGGTTGTTCATCATCGGGTTTGGTTTTGGGGAGACATTTTTAGGTGTCTACAATTATTCGTATACTTTAGAGGTAATTTGATTTACTTCAATGATATTTTAATTTACTTTTTAGCATTGTTTATTTATTTTACAGTAATTATGATTTAGTTTTGACATATTTTGCTCTATTTTTGATTTCTTTTAATAGTTATTTTGATTTACTTTAGGGATATATTAATTTACATTTCTTGTTTTTCTACTTCAATGATATTTTGATTAACTTTTTAGAATTTACTTTAGATTAATTGTGATTTACTTGTGACATATTTTGCTCTACTTTTGATTAAACCTTTACATTGAGCTTCATATACTTCTTTCTCATAACTTGATTCATTTTGTGAGGATATTTACATCAACAATTCAGAAATATTGTGCTATTTCCAAGTTTTCATAGTGTCATTACTCATAAAAAGCCAATCAATTGTTCGTACACATCAAGCTAATTTGATTTACTTTTTGGTTATTTTGGTTTACTTCTGAGGTATTTTGTATAACTTTAGAGTGTTTGATCCCTAACCCTACAAAAGTTCATCACTTTATTCCTAGCTTGATATACTCACTCTTTTGTAGTTATTACTTTTGAGCTACAATGATTTACTTTTAAGATGATTTGGTTTACTATTGAGGTGTTTTTAGTTATTTTTAGACACAACCTATGTAGGAATCGAACCTACATCTCCTATGCATTTGCATAGTGCTCTACCATTTTGAGCTAATAGGTTTTAGTATACTTAGTGCATGCAATAATTTGAAACATAAAAATATGACACATGATTCCTTGTATACTTAGCAATTTATATCCTAAGTGTATAGTTATTTGCCCCGTCATTGCATACATGTTTATTGAAACAAACAAGAAAGGTTCAATTCCTCAAAGCACTAGTGAGTTAAAATATGTCATTAAAGGTTTTGTCTGTCAATATTGATCCAATTAATTATACAATAGTTATCATCATAAGGAGTTCTGTCTAATATTAAACACAATCCTGGTTTCTCAATCATCTTTGACATAGCTTATCCTAGTTCCCTGGAAAGGAGTCCAGTCCTAGTGATCTTTATTGCGCCAAAAATTAAGCACTATTCTACTACCAATTAAGAGATGAGTAAAATGATAGGAATAAGCCATGATATATACTAGATTTTTCATGATGGAAAGGGAAAGGGGGGCATACTCAAGGGCATGGTAACCAAATGTTCCCAGGACTCTAGTTGAGTGCAAACGAGCTGCTATTTTTGAAGAAGCACTTGTTAGGTTGAGGTCAACTATATTTGACAAGAAATCATCGAACAACAGGACATTGCTACATCTAACATCTCTGTGAACAATAGAAGGCTGCACCTTCTCATGCAGGTACTCTAGACCTTTTGCAGCTCCAAAGGCAATTTTTACTCTTTGTGCCCATGTTAGAGTAGGCCCTGGTGCTGCACCTTGTACTCCTTTCCTTCCTGTACAAGGCATCAAAGATGATTTGATTACAAAAATTGCAAACTATTCTAATGCCAATTTAAAAGACGAGTAAGATGATCGGATTAAGAGATGGAATACCATGTAATACATAATGTAAAGAGCCCATTGTTGCGTACTGATAGATCAATATTCTGTTAAATTGTTCCAAACAATAACCCATAAGCTCCGTAAAATGCTCATGCTTTAGTCTTGAAACAATCGACAACTGCAATGAGCCACCACTTATCAGAAAACAAGAACAAAATTCCTAAAAATATAAAACCATACTGTGTAGAAAAAATGTAACATACATGAGCTGCAAAGTCGGATAGTGTAGTGGATGACTTATGTGGCCCTTGACTCATTATGATGAATCAAGTAGGAACTTGGTATGGAGTTAGTATAGGAAACGGAATGGAAACAAATTAGGAGGGGAAAGGGTAACAATTAGTGTTACCCTTACTAGTTGTTTGGTACATCAAAGGAAACGGAAACAATTATCACCATTCCGTTTCCTCTTGTTTGGTATAACAAACGGAAACGAAAAATAAGAATGAATAATACAATATTGTCTATGCTCATATTTTACGGGTAAAAAAAAAATAAAAAAATAACCTAGATAAAAAATATTGTCTATGCTACATATTTTACGATAAAAAAAAACAATATATATATAAAGCAAAGTTGGCACTCATTAATTATCCAAACATTGACTAATAATATGTCCATCATCATATGAATAATCCCAACACATAACTTGTATTGCTCAAGTGTCCGAATTAGTAGAATTCACATCATCTTCTTCATCACTCTCGACAATCAATGGTTGCTTATCAATCTCTTGATCAATACCTTCTATGGCATCAACGAATGACTTACTTAAATCTCCGGTAGCTTTGTCTTTTGCGTATATCTCTGAAGAGTTTCATAGTGAATGAATGGGACTCCAAACAACCCTTTAGCTTTCTTATGAGTCTGCCATATAAGAGAATGCAACAAGTCAAAACATGAAAAGTCATATAAACAATGAGCATGTTAAATTCCTAAAGTATAGGCAAGTCAAATACTGCAGATTGCTTAATTTTACATGTCCCTATATTATCATCACCTCTGAGAAATCAATAGACAAGGAAACAGAAGACAATAATGCAACAAACAATTCAACAATATCGTTTTCTTAGAACCAAGCCTCAGGATTGAACAAAGATATAAAGCTTACTGGAATTAATATTTACTTAAATAAAATCTAATTCCTTTGACTGAGAGCTACTTAACATAGCAAAAAGATATTTTTTGAGCTCCTGCTTTTAAGGTTAACTTCTTGTGCACTTGGATAATAGTTGTAACAGAGAATTGCATATTTAGGAATTAGCTAATTTGTTACCATAAAAGATAAAGAGTAGGAAGTTAAAAAAAAAAAAAAGAAAGGTGTCTGCTAACTCTAAGCTACTGTTCTGTTACTACCAACTGATTGCCATCTTCAGTCATTTTTTATGCTAGCTGTAGCCTGTAAGCATATAAGGATTAGCTCTTCAATCAGTGTCAAAAATAGGAAATGATGCTAAAGTATCACAATAAGGTTTTAATGAAGTTAAAAAAGGATGTGAACAACTTTACAATATGATAAAATATTGTATCAGGCATTTAAATTTCTAGAGTTCTGTTCACGCCCAAACACTCCAGGTTATAGCAAAGAAAGCACATGCTCAAGGATTTTATCCTGCTTTCCTATATTAGAGCCTATAAATGATCAAGCCAATAAAGCCTCTAAACTCATGTGACATAGACGTGTATTTAACAAAGAACTCAAAAGGACAATTCCAATCAAGTCACTGAGTCAATATCTGAACAAAGGGTGGTAATGGAGGGTAAGAACAAGATACCAGCCACTGTATGACAACTTGCAAACAACTAGGTGATTCATAGAGTTCCGATGATAACAACAGATACAGCTACAGACTCGCAGTCTCAATAGATACAAGTCATCTCTACAATAGTCTAAGATGCAACGATAGACATATTAACAGGTCTGATATCAGCTGAAAAAGCTTCTTAATTAAGTATTAGAGGGACAACTAGATAAGCTAAGAAAAAAAGCTGGACAAGGTTTCTACTCATTAGTGGAATGGAAGCAGCCTACTATAGAGGGTGCAGACTACATATGAACTCAGGTTCATATGAACAACAGCAGTTCTAGAGATTGGCCTTAAATAGCATTACAATCTTCAAAAGAAGAAAAAAATGAACAAAGAGGAATGAAATAATAACCATTGAAATAACTAGTTGTATTTGTTTAAGCTTTTTCTTCCTTATGGAACGCATAAGTCGAGGCATTGTAGAAACCTTGAAAAATCAGTCCAAAAAATGTACAATAGTATCAATATATTACCCATCAAAAACCATTAAAATACAAGAAACAGAAAATAAATCGCAATTGAACCCGATAAATAGCAAAACAACAGCAATCAACAAAGAATGCTCCACATGTGGATAAATTTAAAATATTTCAATACATAGCAGGATTTTTTTTATGCCATATTTCATGCTTTCGATTTCCATCAATAGTACATCATTTGACAAGTTGACAGGGAATAACATAAACCCTCACAATCCTAATCGTATGAGCGAAATTAGTAGTCAATAATTCATAAGCTAAAGCTAACTGGTTAAATAATCTGGGTAAGTAATCAGGCAGTAGCAGAGTATTTCGATTCAGAATATGGGTAAGTAATCTAGTCATGTTTCTCTTATAAGCAAATAAACCAAAATCATGGGAAAAAATTTGGGAGGAAACACATTATAACCAGCAATTATAGGCAAAAATAGCAATATAAACCATCAAATTCAGCAGAAAATCAACAAACGAGAAGAGAAAATGTTAACAAACAAGCAAGTCACTAATGTAATGAAATCGAACCGATGTTGTGAAATCGAAATTGATATCAACGAACAACCTTAGAAATTGATATCATATTAACAATCTATGTACTACAAACAATCTGAGATAAAAAAAATAATAAAAATACAAACAATCAAACTGAAAATTATACAAATTTCAACACAAATTCAAAATCAAGGGTTTATCTAACAAAAAATTGATAAAAAACAAACCTGTGATGGTTAAGATTATTGATTTCTGGAGATTTGAGCTAGGAAATTGATCAAATTGAGCAAAATCTGGAGATTCGATCCATCAAACTTGGGAATTTTTCGGAAAATTATGGAATGAGAGGAGAGAGAAAGAGTAAAAGTTGTGTTTTTTTGGGTTTGAGGAAAGAAACGTGAATCGTTTTCGCAATTTTTGCAACGGAAACAAATGGGTGGAATGGGTTACCACCAAGTAACGGAATTTGTTACTTTACTCATTAACCAAACATATTCTAATGGAAACGATAATCTGATTCCGTTTCCACCCCTATAAAAAACCCATACCAAACACCCCCTAAATGTATAAAGGTATCACTCCCACCTCCCAACCAAATAGGAACTAAATGATGAATCAAGTTGTAACATTTTGGTTCTTGATTTCAGAAGTAGTAAAAGGAGATTTTTAATTCTATTTACTCTTACAAATATTTGATTTACTTTTAACTTATTTTATATCTACTTTTATAAGGCTATACCCCTCTATAGTACATAGATAGATAATCATCTCTCTAAAAAGTACATAATCAATACCCAAAATTCAATAATAAAAAAAATATATGCAGGAAAAAAAAAAGACAAATTCAAGCAAGAAAATCTTACAAGTACTCCTCATAATTCATAAATTTACACAAAAATCAATAACAATAATAATTGAATAATCATACAAAATTAATTCTCAAGTAATTGTTAATTACTTCAATTGTTTAGCTAAAATTAATATCAAAATTATAAAATGCAAAAAATACCTGGATTTGAGCTTGATATATTATTGTCGCTGAAGAAAGTGCACTTGAGAAACCGGATGAACTCCAAAATTGTAGCTAACAAAATAAAATTAAACTTCGGCAATTATAATTTTGCGATAAATCAAATAAAAAAACAGTTCAAAATCAATAATTTTCTAAGATTATCACAACTGTATAAATTTAGCATAAATTAAAATTTTGAAATTATACCTAGTTTTTTAACCTCTCAACAAGTAATTTCATTCTAAAAATCGAGTGAAAATCAATGAAGAATTTTGTCAGTGGAAGAAATTAACATACGAGAAAGAAATTTATGGCAGTTTTTGAGAAGAATCAATGGAGACTTTTAGCAAAATTGGTGTGAGGAGAGAGAAAATGCTTTATGAGATTGGAAATGGTCACTGAGGTTGAAGAGAGAGAAAAGTACGCTTGTTCCATTTGGTGGAATTCATCTTTGTTTGAAATAATCACGGTCGTTCATCAAGCGCGAATTTGAGGTTAATCTGATGGTTGAAATTAGTTCTTAGTTCCTATTAAGGATTGGTTCTCATTATATATATATATATATATATATGATCGAAGCTGAACTGAACTAAAATAAACTGAAATTAAGCTGAAGTGAACCTTAGGGATAGTTGAATGATGATGTAGTGTTATATCGATGTAAGAAGAGATACACGTAGCACAAACTATCAATCAATATCAAAATAAAAAATATCTATAGACCTTACAAAACATGCAAAAGTTTTCACTGTTCTTATGAATAGTTCCATGTGGTGCTATTACAATGACACCCTTACATTTAATGATTTGTCGGATTTGCCCTTCCTTAGCTATGTGCATTTGCTTGCCATTTGTAGCGGAGGAGACAGCTGGTCTTCATATCCTTCTTTGGTTGCCAGCTAAGGTGTCCTTGTTTCTTGTAGGAATTGCTTTCCGAGGTTCGTTTGGTTGTCCGCTGTGGTGTTAGCTTTGGGTCTTCTCTTTTGTCGGTTGGGTTTCCGCGTTGTTGGTCTGAATGATGAGGTTTGGAGGGGAAATGTTTGGTTTGGCGTGTTGTTCAAGAGTGTCTGGTATGGTTTTTTTCTCTTTTTTTCTGGAAAATTGTTGGCTCTCAGCTTTGTTTCGGTTGCATGTTAGCTTAGGACTAGAATTAGTGTTTGGCTTTTCTAGGAATGGACTGCCTTACTTGGGCACTACTTCAGTGTCCTGTTATAGGAATTAAAAAAAGACTTGGGGATGACTTTGTTGTACTTGGTTTCTGGGGTTTATCAATGGCGGTGGACTGTTTCGCCGTAGTCTATATACAGTTCAGTTGGATTACCTTTGGGTGTGGGTGACCTTAGTTTCCTGTGCTGAAGTCTTTCTTTCGGAGGTTGTTCTTTGTTGGCTTGACATTATATTACCTGTTGTGCATTTTATATATGTGTATACGGATCGTATTTCGGATTTACTGACAAATCGAACTCTATAGAATCTCACTATGTGTACATGGATTGTATTTCGGATTTGCTGCCAAATCGAACCTTAAATTCAAAATAGCTAATTACATAGAGTTACAATGCGTTTTCCAGTGTCATTGGTGCTCCCATCCTTATGACACTGGATTGGCATGTGGTATTGATTTAATTCCTGTTGTGTTATTTGGAGTGGTAACAAATGAAGTGTGGATTTGGGTTTTTAAACCAGGTGGCATATCAACTGGTTATTGGTTGACTTCAAATGTTCTTATTTTTACTTTTTGTGGGGTTCCAGGATTGTTGATAGAATTGTTTGTGCTTCTGTTGCTGGACCTTGGTTTGTTCTGGTATGTTTGGAAGACTTTTCAAGGTAATTCCTGTTCCTTAGAAGTTGTTCTGTGGCTTTGGAGTTTCTTTTTTATGCTATGTTGTTTTGTTCTGATTTTCTTGGTCTCGGTTAGACGCAATCATTACATTGTTTTGTGCATCTTCTTTACCTGTGATGCTGCTTTTGTACAGCGTGTGTGGTATTTGGAGTGTGATTTTATATGCTTTCAGCTCATTATAGTATTCATAGAATTGGTAAAAGAAATGCTCTGGGTGATTGATTGTTTGTTCTTTTCTCATTCCTTGTGAAGGGATATTGAGGTAGTTTGTAGGTAAGTTACTTTTTTGACGTAGACCTGGAAAATCTAGGCTGTACTTGGGTCTTCAGAGAAAAGTGGCTGCTTCATTATTGTAGCCTACTATTCGCACGGTTGTTCAGTTCTATAGTGAAATTATCGGGTATTATGTATAGGATTTTTGTGTTTTCATTTAGGATTTCTTTTAGGTTAGTATAAACACGGAACGAATTCTATCTTCCTTTTGGTCGTCTTTTGGATAGGATCCAGTTGTCTTACTTGGAAGAAGAATGAGTGTTTTGCTCTTCATGGTTTTTGTCCTGAACATTGATTTTGCCATTACAGGTTATGGCTAGACGATCGAACAGAGTTTGTGTTCCTTTTCAACCTATTTTGGAAAAGGTTGTTGCTTGGTTGCAGTTTCCATCTCCGGTATATGGATTTATAGATGTTGCTAAGAATAATGTCTTTGTACGGGTTAATAGGCCAAACTCCCGTACAAAGTTCATCTTTTATGGTGGAGATGCTGCTACGGTTGAAGAGTCTCGTGAAAGAGCAGCGCACAAGGCTGTGAAAAGATTAGTCTTCCAGATTCGAGTGATGTAGTTGCTTTGTAGCTCGATTTGTCCTACTATTGATGTCTGTTTTAGGATGCAGGAAATAGCCAGTATTATGTACCTTTTGGTTTTTGCTGATGTACTGAATCGAACTACTTTGATGTACTGGCTGTTATGGCTTTTTTATAATGAAAGCACTTGGTGTTTGTAGTATGCCTTGTGTTTTTTCACGTTGCGTTGTTTACTTCTTTTCTTGTAATCGTTCAGGTGGATGCCTTTCTTTATCATTTTTTTTCCCTGTCTGGTTTCTGATGCGAAAACTATTACAGGTCTTGTCTACGAAAGGTGTTGCGAAACTCTGTAGCCTTCCACCTTTGATATCCTCTTCTAGAACTGTGAGAATGGGTATTGTCTTTGTTAGAAAATTCTGTGCTATAATTTGTTTGATACAGCTGAATTCTGAATTGTCTCTTCTTTTGGCTGCTTTACTTTCTTGTTTGCTAGATTGCCGTTATGGCATACCTGAGCTATCTAAAAAAAGATGCAGTAGACTAAATAAGACTGCACAAAGGACATCACAGTCAGCATTTGCTAGGTATACATATCTATTAGAGGTTGATTGGTTAGGATGAGTGGCTCTTGCATTTGGAATCGGTTTGTTAAAGAGTTTACCTTTAAATGTAGCCCGTGCTCATCGGCAAATCAGTTTGCTCCTGCACAGCCTCCACAGCGCCGTACATCAAAGAGGCAGAAGTGTATACAGGAAATGGCTATGCCAAATTTCAATAGTTACACTGTATTCGTTGTCTAGTTGCTATTATGTTTATCTTTGTTGTATTGATGAACGATTTTTCCTTTTTCCCTCTTATTGGTTGTACCTTCAGATTGCTGCATTCCTAGGGGTGCTTATTCGGTCTTTGTGGTATAGATACCATAATATAATACGTATTTCGTGCAGTGTTCCAGAAGTAGGAATACGTGTCCTTTCTAAGAAACAAAAAACCCCATCTATTGTACAAGGTAACTGATTCTGTCAGTTTTGGGAATGTCCTATTATGGCTTAGCATCTTATAGGTCTTTTTTTTTTTTTGTGTTGTATAGCATTAGATATTCTTGGTGCTGCTATGGATCGGCAGTTGCCGGCGGAGCCTTTCAAACTGTCTATGCCCTTTTCGTGTGGCAAATGCGGTGCAAAAAAATTTATGTTTGAATCCTTGCACTTTTGCTGTGGGAATGGAGACATCACGATTGCTGCTACTGAGTATCCCCCTGAACTTGTTTATTTATTTACTTCGAAGGATGAAGGCGCTGTGCATTTTAGAAAGTATGCTAGGCTGTACAACAACTTGTTCGCATTTAGTTCACTTGGGGGTCATTATTATGCGAACACGTACAAAGGGATTTATCTTTTCAAGTTGCACGGGAAAATGTATCATTTTGTCCCAGATTTATTGCCTGCCGATGACAATCCAAAGTATCTCCAATTATATTTCTATGATGGTCAACATGAATCAGAAAGTAGGGTTGGTTGTTTCCCTGAAATTAGAGAAGATATAATTAGCATTCTGATGCAGGTATCTGAACAAAATCCCTATGCTGTATTCTTCCGGAATTTAAGGGACAGGGTCATTCATGCAGATACAAGAATTATTTTAAATCAGGCCTTGGTTCTTGATCATCGTGTTTATAATGCTCCTGATGTTGATGAAGGTGCTGCTATCTGGCCGGAGAGTTCTTCGTCTAGCCAAAGCTTGGGTCCTCATATATTAGTTAGTGGACGCTCTGATGAATCTCATCGAATATATCATAATTATGGCTGCTATGATCCGCTTCAGTATCCTTTGTTATTTCCTCGCGGTGAATGTGGGTGGACTCAAGGGCTTAAAAAAAATTCTCACCCGTCTCGGAGCACAGCAGATTTTGTTCCAGATCCTATAATGTCTTGTGCTGTTCATACTGCAACAGGTTTATTGGAACAGGAAGAAACCCGTACAGATTCTAAAACTTATTCTTCGTGCTTTACATTAGGTGCCCTTCTACTGTTGTCCCCTTTAAATACTGTGTTTCGTATCTTAATTGCAGGTGCAAAAAGAAAGAACACTAAAGCTGACAAGTTCATTTCTGCTAGAGAGTATTATGCCTACTGATTACAAATCAGGCCTAATAATATGTTGTTGCGAGCGGGTAGGTGTTTTCAGCAATACATAGTGGATATGTATGTGAAGATTGAAAATACAAGGCTTGATTATTTCTGAAATAATCAAGACACCATAAGAGCTGATCTATATAAAGGTATTCTTGATTCACTGGATTCAGGGGAGACTCTTGGCCAAAATGTTGGCCGTAGAGTTAAACTACCTCCTACTTATATTGGTGGTCCTCGTGATATGAAGAAGCGGTATTTAAATGCTATGGCTTTGGTACAGAGATTTGGGAAGCCAGATCTTTTCGTAACAATCACTTGTAATGCTAATTGGCCTGAAATAAAAGCCGAACTAGCTGCTGGTGAGGCGGCACAAGACAGACCTGATTTGGTTGCTAGGATTTTTAGAGCAAAATTGCTAGCATTGAAAAAAGAAATCATGGAGAATAAGATTTTCGGGGAAGTTGCTGCATTGGTGTATGTGGTCGAGTTCCAGAAAAGAGGGTTGCCACATGCTCATTTTCTTATTATTCTGAAACCTGCATATAAGCTCAAGTGCCCTTTTGACTATGATCGATTTGTTTGTGCTGAAATACCTGCTCAAACCAATGGCATCCTAAGAAGAATTGTGTTGGCGCATATGATGCATGGTCCTTGTGGCGTGCTTAATCCGGATTGTCCATGTATGAAGAAAGCTGGCGTGAAACGCTGTTGTAAGAACAAATACCCTAAGCAATTTTGCAATGAAACAACAAATAATAAGGATGGATATCCTATCTACCGCAGGAGAGACACTAGGGAGCAGGTCACCATAAGAAATGCACAATTAGACAATCAGTGGGTTATTCCCTATAACCCTTATCTATCGATGCTATTTGATTGCCACTTGAATGTTAAGGTGTGTTCGACCATTAAGGCAGTAAAGTATCTGTACAAGTATGTCTATAAGGGCCATGATAAGATTTCCTATAATGTTGTTGCTTCTGATGGTGAAACTGTAGATGAAATTCATCGATATCAATCGGGTAGATGGGTATCTCCTTGTGAAGCTGCATGGAGAATATTCAGCTTTGACCTATTCGAAATGTATCCTTCTGTTTTGCTTTTACAGGTCCATTTGCCATAAATGGAAACAAAGAGTGCAAAACAGGATTTCAGTTGGCCGCTTGGCATTTGTGTTTCCTGCAGAAGGGGAACGGTTCTTTCTTAGACTCCTATTGTTGAATGTAAGAAGTCCTAGGTCTTTTGAAGATTTGCATATTGTTGATGGCTGTTTGTATTCAACCTTTCAGGAAGCTGCTCTAAAACGAGGCCTTATAGAAGATGATGACACAGCCAATTCGATGATGGCTGAAGCATGTGAAACTCATATGCCTGCTGCTTTGCGTCGCCTGTTTGCAACAGTGTTAATTTTTTTCCAACCAAGAGATCCTGCTGCTTTATGGAATACTTATTATCCTTTTCTTGCTGAGGATTACTCTCACAGGTTTCCAAATCAGCTTGTGAGAATACAGCAGCTTACTGTTCGTGTAGTTGAACAACATCTGGAAGCCATGGGAAAATCCCTTGCCTATTTTGGTCTAGAGGAATTAGTATCACGGGTTAGTGATGAGTTTAGGCGTACAAAGGATATTATAGATGCTCTTGATGCGCCAATCCCGCAAGAGTGCTTAAGTTGTCGTTCATAGTTAAACTCTGCACAGAATGCTGCTTTCGAATGTATAATGGAACATGTCCTGCCGCAAAAACCTGGTGCTTTCTTTATTGATGGTCCAGGAGGTACGGGAAAAACGTTTCTCTACAATGCTCTATATGCAGAAATTCGACAACTGAACAAGATTGTTTTGCCTACTGCTACATCGGTAATAGCTGCAGCTAACATTCCTTCAGGGAGAACTGCTCATTTGCGGTTCAAAATCCCGATTGATGATGAGGGTTCACTGGCATGCGATGTTCCAAAACAAGGGAGTTTAGCTGCATTGTTAAAGGAAACCGCTCTAATAATATGGGATGAGGCTTCTATGGCTAAAAAACAAAATGTTGAATCCTTAGATCTTTTATTGCAGGATATTTGTGGAAATAAGGTAGTGTTTGGAGGGAAAGTAGTTGTTTTGGGAGGAGATTTCCGACAAGTGTTGCCAGTGGTCCCACGTAAGACAATGAATGAAGCAGTAGAGGCAAGTATTGTCACTTCTTATCTGTGGCCTAGATTTGTGAAATTTAGGCTGACAGAAAATATCAGGGCACGGGAAGACCCAGGATATGCTTCTTTTTTGCTTGGTTTGGGAAATGGCGAACTGCAGCAAATAGAAAACGCTTTTGTCAACCTACCGGAACATGTTGTACAATGCACAGATGACTTTACAGACTTAGTTGCCACTGTTACAGAAACAACATTTCTAGAAATTGGCCGTGGCTACTTTGACAGTGAGGTTTTCACAAGAAAGGCGATTCTGACACCCATGAATGATGATGTGGATGGTATAAACACATTCATGATCGAGAAATTCCCTGGCTGTGCTGTGACTTACAAGAGTTTTGATGCTGTTGTTAATGATACATGCAGTATATATCCTAAGAATTTATTAACAAGCTGTGCCCAGGTGGTGAGTCCTCATGAGCTTGTGCTAAAGGAAAACTGCCCAGTGATACTGCTAAGGAATTTGCTTCCATCTTCAGGTCTTTGCAACGGTACAAGGTTAATTTGCAGGAAGTTTTTTCCGAATGTCATTCAGTGCACTATAGTAGTTGGTCATTACAAGGGAGAGGAAGTTTTTATCCATAGGATTAATTTAAGGCCTTCTAAGTCTGTCAAGTATCCGTTCATGTTTGAACGAAAATAATTTCCTATAAAACTTAGCTTTGCAATGACAATTGACAAATCTCAGGGACAGACTCTTAGCCAAGTATCCATTTATTTACCGCGCCCATGTTTTTCCCATGGGCAGCTTTATGTTGCCCTTTCACGAGCAAAGAAATCAAACGATGTTTGCGTTTTCACTGCAACTGCTGCTAACCAATGTTCTGTTAATGCAGTTAAGAATGTAGTGTCTCATAAACTTCTACAGCTTGCAGGCATTGTTCAGAATGATGTAATGTAGAGTGACCATTACATTGAACTCCTGTAAGCAAACACAGATATACCAGAGTTGCTGATGGTGATTGTTTTTGAATAGAGTGAGGTTCAATTTTTGTTCTGATTTACATGTCAGAGCAGGATTTAATATTACTGATATATGTTTTGGTGTGAATGTAGGCTGCCTTTACACCGGACATTGTAAGTATGTGAATGGACTTTAATTGAAGTACTAATTTAGTATAGCAGTGCATCTCTTTTTTCCTGATTGTGTTTCTGTCCTAGAGAATATGTGCTGCGTGGCTTGTAGATGGCCTTCCTGCATTGTAGCTTATAAAAATATGCTTTCGGCTTATAATTAGGCATTTCGTGCCTTGAATTACATGTATACTTGTACATACTAGGCCTTAGTTTTGGTACACTAGATTAATTGGTCATGATTCTTTTGATCGAGGAATTGATTCCTCTTTTATTTTCTTTTCCTTTTTATTCCTTTTTATCACTCTGCTTTTCCAAGACAGTTAGCTAAATGGTTGAATTCTAACTTGTTATTCCTTTTACATTTGGACCATTAGATTCTTTGGTTACTTTAGACCAAGAGAAGGAGAGCTTGCTCTTTGGGAGCTGGATTCTGATTATTATTTTCATGCTGTAGGTGTCGGAGATGATATCTTCTCAGATAAGCAGTAACATGTCGCCTTTTCACCCAATTTCCTCCTTTCCGTGAAATTAATCTCTTGAATTGGCTGAACTTGTGTATGCTTGCTTTCGTTTGGGCTATAAATATTTTATATTATCTTGGATTATCTACTGTCCTGCATTTTTATTATTGAGAAATGCCTTTATCCAGTATAATCTTGTTGTGCTTTTTTGCAGCTGCATCAATTCTCCAACTGATGTCATTCACTTAGGAGAAAAGATTTCTTTGAACCCTGTGCCTGCTTATAGAGAACACTTTTCAATGATCAAACTGACCTCTTTTCATAAGCTCACTGAGAGGACATGCAGTTTGATAAAAGATGTGAGGTTTCGCTGGAGTGACACTTGATGCAATGTAAGCTTTCTACATTTTCTTTTTTTCATTGTGAGAAAGAAAATTGCTAAAGATGTTATGTTCTTCCTTCTGGCAGAGAACATAGCTCTTCTTGAATTCAAGCTTCCCCGCTCTTTCTGTATCCTCGGATGATGGTGCACGTTCAATTGAATAAAAGTTGATCTTATGAAATTAATGCATTAGCTGCTCTGTTGATCCCATGCATGTCTGATTCCCAAACTTAATTTATACCTTTTGTGCAGAAAGATACAACTCAAAAACCCAAACTGGAATTCCGATTTACAGAAAGATGGACAAAATGAATCTACTTCAAAGGAGGCTTCAAGCACAAACACAAATGGTGTCTCAAAAAATGACACCGTGTCTAATGGTATTTGTGATCAAAATATGCTTTCTCAAGTAGATAAGTGCAATGAAAAGAGTGTCTTCCAAAAGTTCGTAATGTTTTTGTGTGCTTCTAGACCAATTCGATTTTTGAAATAAGATTGACGAATAAATATTATTAGTTGACTGTCAAATCCACATATATGTTTTTGACATTTGACATGCACACGGTGGCTAAATTATTCATGAACTATGAACATTATTGGCTACACACCCTTACTAATCTAGATAACATGATATGGCCTTAGATAAAAGCAAGTACTGCTTTGATACAGACTAAAAAAGTATGGCCTTTGCAGCTAACTGTTTTTTCCTTTCTCTTTGCTTAGGTATCTTGAGATGTCGTCTATGGACGAAAACAATTGCTGGTGTGGTAGAACTTTGCTTGATGATCTTGATGAAAACAGTGATATATACAAGCACTATGCCCAGCTCTGTGAGGTACAATATAACTATGATTTACAAACTTTTCTCATGCTGAAACACCATCAGTCTTTGACTTCTACTTTGTTATGTCAGACTCAGTAATGTCTTCTGGATAAGCTGTCATGAGAAGATATTATTTGGTCCTTATAACTAAGCTTGACAAAATTCCATGACAGTACAAGGATGTATAAGAATGACTTAGGCTCTTTTCTTGTGCCTTAGCATTAGCTGATTTATTAATCTGGATTAGGTGCGCTTGTTAGTCACGCATTGTGGTTAGCCTTTCATCGAATGCTTACTGCCTTTCAATGACAAGAGTCAGTGATGTTAAGCTGTTTACTGTACCTGTTCTTGCAAATGGACAGTTAGTGATGCCTACTTGGAGCATTCTGTCATTAGCTGATAGGTTGTTCTCCCTTTACCTATGCAGAAGCTGCACCCCAAGCTTTGAGCATTTGTATTTACCATACAGGAAGCAACAGAATCAACAAGCAATAGCATTTATCTTCTGCTGAAAGTGTATGCTATACAGTATATTATGCTTTTCTATGCATGCTTGATATAGAAGGCACTCACATTTTTTTTACTCTGGCGTTTACTTGTTTAGTTGGTATATATACTGTACATCGAGTCTATGTTAAAAATCCTTCTGCTGATCAATACTCACTAACGGTTATTTCGACTAATATGTACTGTAAATCGTGTGGCACTTCATATGTTACTAATAGTGTCTTTTGTGATTTTGTTAGGGGTTATTATTTGGGTTATGTATTGCATAGTTTATAAATGGGCTTTGTTAATGTAGCCCATAGAATATAACTATCATTATACTTTTGGTATAACAGATTTGTTAATAGTAGAGTAAAAATGTAGATGCATTTCACCTTGGAGATCACAACTAGCAAGTACAAGTCAAAGTAACTATTCATGGTCAGAAAATTACTTTTATAATAAGAGATGTACTTGCTTTTTGCTTTAGCCACATAAAAGAAAGTCTTTTTTTATTTAAATATGCTTAGTTATATAATAGCCATAATAATTAGGATATTTTTACTTATGCTTTAAGGAAAACATATTAAACTATCCTTAGGTGCTTGCAAGCTGTAATCAAGTAAAAAAGGAAAGCTGATTACTGTTTGCAAACGGTTACTGTTGCAACAAAATACCTAGATCAATTCTCTTTCAGCCTTGACTATAAATACCACATAGGTTGAAGACTTTTGGAGCATCAACTTTATTCTCTTATTTTGCATCCTTAATTGTGGTATATTCTTCTTCTTTCTTGCAAGTTTTAAAGTAGCTTTTACATTACTTGCTGTAACTATCACTCACATTCTTAGCTACTTTTTACAAAAAAATTTGATCAGGATTCCATTTTGAGAAATCTATACCTCGTATTTTTTTTGCTCCTTTTAGTATAATCTAGGACTGCCACTAAGTTCATTTGCATTTGTATATGCTACTATATGCTTATTAAGTTATCTCTATTACAGTAACTGTTGCTCATGCAATATCTCAAACTGATTTGTTCATGAAACTATTCAGTTTGTTTAAACTTCTTTTGCATTCTTCATGCTTAGAACTTGTTTATAGATATTCTGTGAAAAAATCTAACTAATGGAAGAATGGCAACAGATTGTATATCATATTCATGTAACCTACACTAATCACCATACATGCACTTTTATGCTGCCTCATTCTTACACCCTGTGAAGTATAACAAATATACCTGTTAGATTTACATGCAAATCTAAAATATTCCTTACTATAATTCTTTTGCTGACTATTTTGCATTCCATGAATTACAGATCATGAATACACCACCAAGAATGAAGCTTGAACCTGTTTACCTGGATTAACTAACTACTCAAAGTAAGGACTACAAAGTTAAAGTCACTGTCGCTGAAAAGGGAAGAGCTCAACCTTCTCCTAAGAATCCTGGTGTGGTTTTCCAAACAATCATTTTAGAGGATGAAAAGGTATGTGCTTGTTATAAACTTAAATTGTAGAAATATATATAGCATTTGTTTTCTGGTTGCAGTGTTCAATATTGCTTGTTGCAAATATAGTCTCATATACCTAATTTATGAGCTATAAAAGAATCATTATACAAGAGAAAGAGTATACAAATTATGAATAAGAAAACAGCTCTAAAATATTTATGTGTGGGTCTGTTCAGAGTTAGAATTAGGTTCCTTACTTAAGCATGCCTCTATTCCCTGCATAGAGTAGTCTTTTATGTTAAGTGTTCTTCTCCTTAATAAGTATGATATGTATGTTTTTCAGAAAAACAAGATGTGCTGTGCTCTTTTTGGTGATCAGATTGAAGCATATGAAGATGTTCTGAAGCCATCTGGTCAGTACGAAATATCCAAGGCTCCTATAACAGCTGTTGATGAGCAGTACAAATTCAATGAACAAGAACTTCCGTACCAAATGGCCGTTAGACAGCAAACTATTATTAAACTGTTAAATCCAGAAAGTGGACCGCTTGAACCAAAGTATCAGCCACTGTCAAGTATTCCACGATCGCCTGATCCAAATGGAAGATTTGGTAGTGCTTATTAACTATCTTCTTAGAAATATCTACACTTGTACTTGCACCTTTGAAAATGCCATTGAATGCATGCATTTTATTGTGCTCACTTTTAACTTTTTTCCTAAACCAAATATAGTTGGTGTTGTCCTGTTTGTTGAAGAAGCACCGAGACTAATCCCCAATGCACGTGGTCGGGATAGTCCAGTTCGAGAGATTTCTATTACAGATACAAGGTATATATAGTTCTTGAAAAGTTGCGTATTGTATCATTTAGCTAACAACCGAGCCAGACTACTAACACTTATTATTTATTTATGAACCAGCGAAGATCATGCTATGACTATTTCAGCATGGAATGATCTCACTGGGAAACCTTGTGATGCTCTAAGTACTTGGGCTGAAAAATTTAATGTTGTTGGTTTTACTGCCCTCAAGACCCGACACACACGAGGTCAGGTTGCTTGCTATAGTTTACATCTTCTAACTTTCACTGGACATTAAAGAATAACCTTTCTTTTGTTTGGCTACAGGATTCACTCTGAATACAACCATGTCGACCAGAATCATTCTAAATCCCAAAGGAGCACGAGCAGATCTGCTTCGAGAATGGTAAATGTTATATAAAATCATTCTATCAACAAATAAAAATAGGTTAACTAAGGCTTCCTATTTTGTTCCAGGGTTAGCTTATATCAGCATGTATTGCAAGATAGGCAAGAAAGGATTCTGAATGTCAGATACCCAAGCACTGAAAAGAAAGTTGTGACAATAGCTGAGCTGAGAAGTAAAAAGGTCCTCAATTCACTAAACTTATTATACATGGGAAAAGAATTATCATTATACATAGCATTTAGGACAAGTATATATTTGCCTATTTAGTAATACCCTGTTAACAACATTGATGCAGGCAGCTAATGCAACACCAGATGAAGTAGCCTGGATCAAAGTCACAATTCCAGAGGCTGACTTACAGAGAGTAAATGCATACATAGGTTGTCTTGGCTGTGGAAAGCGATCACACCTTGCACTTGGGACTCGCTTCCCTTGCATTTCTTGCAGGAAGGCAGACACTACTGCTGCCCATAAGTATACTTTTAGTCCACAATTTAGTTTTTTAAAAACCTCCATAATTATTATACATAAACTGACATTTTGTTCACCTGACATGTGTACTGTTATAGAGTTACTTTCAAGTTCGAAGCTGTTGATGAGAGTGGGACAATGTCATTTACAACTTTTAACGATGATACGGAGAAACTTTTCCGAAAGACAGCGGCTGAAATTTGGGATATGAAAATCAATGTAAGGAATCCCATCACTGTTATAATCTTTAACGTTGTGCAGTTTTTTTTTTCTAGCTTCGTATATGCTTATGTGAGTATGATCGTTCATCATAATATGCATGCAACAATAATTATAAATCCAAAAAAAAAACAAAAAAGGGGGGGGGGGGATCTGTTTGATTACAGTTCTTTCTGTTACTTAGTCTTTTATTCTACAAAAAAAAAAAGGAAACAACTTTGCCTTCTTCACATGCTATATACTGATTATTTATGCACGGTCATGAACATTATAGGGAAATTTGGAGGCTTTTAGAACTGTACAAGAGAGGCTATCAGCAGAGCCTTTTTTCATTCAAGTAACTCCAACTCTAGAGTTAGCAAGGAATAGTGTTCTGTTATGGACACTGAAATCTGTCGATGTCGAAGGTGCACCAACGAGCAGTGAGGTGCTAGGTTCATCATCTTCTAATATGAACAGACAACAGTTTGCTTCTACAGCTGGTAAGCGACTGCCAGCACCACAAATGTTCGGAGCTGATGTTGCACCAGCTGCCACAGCTAAGGACCATGGTAAAGCACCCGCTGTTCCTAACTTAGAAGGTGATACTGATTACAGTGAGGAGAACACGGAAACAACTGATGAGGTTCTTGCTGAAATAGCCCAATTTCATGAGTTCAAACTAGCTTCCCAAGCATTTGAGACAGATTGCTTTGATGTCCCATTGCAGCCAACAACTAAGGGTATTACAATTTCTGAAGCACCAGCACCAGTGACAGAACTTTCTACATGGGCCACTCTTGGTCGCACTCGAAGCAAAGCTAAGAACAAAGAGCCAATGGCTACTGATGATGCGCAGGAGTCGGATGATGAAGACCAGGGTCCAAGGAAGAAACTCCGAACAGCCCTTTTCAAAGAGAATGCAGAGAAAGACAATTAACAACCAAGAATCACCTTGAAGTCTCCCTACCAGCTTGTATGTGAAGCCAGTTTCAGAAGTATAAGTATTTGCCTCCTTTTGCTTTTAAAATGTTAGAATGAATCAAGTACTATAGTATGGTACATTGCTAGGGTTAAGGTCGGGTATCTTTTGGATGTTTAGAAAGAACATTTTGGACATCGTATGTTCTCTATAAACATCAATTGTATGTACAGCACTAAGCTTTGTAGTAGCAGCTAATCTGCAGTTATGTCTTAGAAAGCCTTCTATTATGTACATAGTACTAGCTAAATAAATATGATGTATTAACTTGTATCCTTAAATCAGGATGCTTATCTATAATATAACTTGGTTATTGTAAACTATTTCTATTAAGCTTTACTTACCATTTCATCTGTAGCCTTTTAAATTAGCAGGCTCAAATGAGCGCTGCACCGTCTAACTTAGATGCATTCTTTGACACTTTTATAATTATTTTTCCCATCCTAATTTCACATTCATTAATGCATGTTTAGTTTCCAGTAATCGCAGACTACATTTTACTTCATATATGTTTAACAACCGTGCCTTTTTTGAGAGTTGTTTGAAATCCTTTCCTTTTGACACTTTTGGTTTCCTTTTGTAGCATGCTGATCCTCATTTTACAGCACAAATCAAGGCAGGAAAACAGCCATGGCTTGCTGCACTCACCTACATTCTGATGCTTTTCAACAAGACATGAACACTGGTAATTCTCTAGCTATTCTTGTTGCATTAATTCATTTTACCTATCAATCCCACTGCCTGGAAACTAATTATGGACAGAGTGATTAATAACCTAGGTCACATGTTGTTATTAACCGAACTGCTGTAAACACTAAAAACAGAACAAAGTTACCGGGAAATAGACTGAGTCGCGGACTATGTCGCTTTCTTTAGAACATTCACGGTACTGCCCTTTAATTTGTGCAAGCAGCTCGTACAACAACCGGATGTTCCCCAGGATAAAACAGCCTTCTTCTATTGTAATTATACCGGTGGAACTGCACAAAACCACCGGGCAACTAAACACCAAAAAAAAGAAATGAAACTGGTCGAGGGTTTTGTTTTTGTGAGGAAAAATAGAGAGGAGAAGAAGATTGCTTTCTGTATTTTTTGTGTGTAAAAAACAGGAAATCAACACGCCTTTTATAGGAAAAATTGCAACGTAACTGCTGCTGTTTAATTAGGCACTAATCACACAATTAAAACGGTCATAAGTTGAACGTTCAAAACGGTTACAGAAGATTAATGCGTGGCAAAACGTTTAGCAAAAAATCAGTGAAAACGTTTGCATGATTAACGCTCCATTAATCAGTTTTGAAAAACGGTCAAACGTAATCAGTCAAAAACGTTTAGCAAAAATCAAGGAACTAATCACGCAATTAGCCTTGTCCAAAAAATAAGTTTATTTAATAAACCCGACCCGACCCGACCCAGCCCGGCCCGGCTCGGTTCGGCGCGCGTGTGTGTGATAGATGGTTTACCATATAGGTCCTCCCTCTCCACAAAATGTGGGTAGCCCAAGGGCCACACCCCTTTAGCCCACTCTCTATATTATAAAGAGAGTAAAACTCTCATTTCCCACCAATGTGGGACTTTGAGTTTTTTCACAAAATTCACACACTCACTTGTTGTTCCAACACATGTCACATTAGAGTTTTTATATACTTTTGAAAATGTTAGATGTTCCTAATTTTGGGCCCTGAACGATTTCATTTTTCACAAACGTGCAGTTGACATTTCCATTTTAGGTGCTTTTCGATTTGCACTATACTCAGGCCTCTACAGAAATATTAATAAAACACATATGCATTGACAGGCGCCACCATGTCTTCGAGAACCCAGGTATGTAAAATATCCATGACAGCTGAATTTTCAAAACTGTCTTGTTTGCTTTTCATGTACTTTGCCTGCTGATAATTTTCCGAATATACATAGGAAGAATTACTGGAGTGTTAAATGACTAACTGGCTAGCTATATCTAGACTAAGATACAAAATAGCTACAGGCAAGTTAGATATTCATGGTTAATTTCAAATTAAGATATCAAAGCATAGCAAAAACAAAGGGAAAGGAAGAACTTTCTAGACAGAGAAGCTAACCTTTGTCTAATTCCATTACATTACATAAGGAAATAATTCATTCTAAAACAAATCTAATGCCCTTATTAATCTCTGAACACAATAAAAGCGAAGAAAAAACACACAGTCCTAACAACATAGCATTCTAAGAAGGCAGATAAGTCAGCCTATTACACCAACACTAAATCGACATCAAAGACTATGGAATTTCCTTGTCTAAATTTTATCAACGCCCCTTCATCTACTTGGACATTGTAGTAATCAGTAAATTTCTTTACACCATTCTTTATTGAGCACTGAATAATCGTACTCCCAGCCTTTGCAACCTTCAACTGAGCACTAAACTCTCTATCAAAGTTCTGCAAAGTGATATTTGTAGTATCGGGGAAATCTTGAAAATGTTGCCTAGCAAAATCCAGCGGAACATTCTACCAAAAAACCACACCACACAAAATAATATTAGCAAGAATACAAACAAGAAATGCATGTTCTGCAAATTACTATAGACTAAAAGAAAAACATACTATAATTCCTTGCTGAATATACGCAGCTGAAAATATGAAAAAGAAATACTCTTCATGGCAGCTAACAGCAAGTTCAGTGAGCCAAGCATAGGTCTCAATCATTTTAGCTGAAGATCCTTGAACAGCTGGTCTCCGTCCACGTTTTTTATAAGAACTGCTTGAGCCCTCAGAATGCTTTCCCTTTTCTATCTTCTTTCCTTTCTTAGCAGTTTGAATTCGGATTGTGAATGAACTATCCCCTAAATAAGTGAAAATTAGGATATCACCTACTTCTATCCCATTATCTTCCACAAAATCAACCCATCCTGCATCAAGATATGTATTCCAACCTCTGCCACATTCTTCATGAACTAAAGTAACGTACCAAGATTCATGACAGCCATCTATGAATAACTGAATATTTAAAAAGCCATCATCTAACATATCTCCAAAACCATCAGGGATACGCTGCACATATGACAATTTTCACTTATTATGAACACAATACAAAGTACTAACTACACATAACGGCTAAGCAAAATATACGCGACATGCACAACAGAAAAAGGCAGAAATGTAGGCAAAACCTAAAAACTAAGCAAATCCTACAACAGATGCACATCAGACACTAACAAAAACAGTTTAAATAAGTTCATACCAACTTATCATGTTTCTCTTTGTCATTCTCATACCGAACTGTAAACACAACTGGAAAAACTGTCATTGATTTTTTCAGCAAGACACTTATTCTCTACAGCACCTACACAGTAATTTCTGTAACAATCACAAAATTCCCATGTACTTGCTAACTGATAGAAAATGCTTCTATTTATAGACAGAAAATATGAACTTAAAACTGCTGTACTATTATATATATTAATGAGAAAATAAAAGGTCATTAATATCATAATTTACCTTGAGAAAGTAACTGAGATATAAGATTCTATATCTCTATGTTTCTAAACACTTCTTGTCTTCTGTGAAAATAATGAATATAGTGATGATTGAATATAAAGCAGCTCTTAGGTAGAGAATATTAATATCACTTATTTGTATTTTCATACACTTATAATTTTAAAAGCCAACAATACTGATTTCATCCATATCCAATCTTTTGTCACTCTTCCAAAAGTGGATTCCCTCACTATATAGTCTACTGAATAGGCTTTACAGTGACATGACAAAAGATTCTTAGATATTCTTTTAACTGACAACGCGAATAACAAGCAAACATAAACTAACAACTTTCGACTCATATTTAATTAATTCGAATATATAACAACAAAGGGTATTATCAGGATCTAAAGAAACCATTAAAATTACAATATAGCATTACATGATATCCTATATCCAATTCACGAATTGAAAAATATATGGTGTAAGAAAGATTACGATAAAACAACAATAGACACTGAGTTTGAAACACATTAACCTTACTTTTGCACAATAATTAAATTAGTCTTACAATACAAGCATGGCTATGCTAGGCCTTTTAAAAATATATCATTGAATTTAAGATGGCTCAATGCATTTTGCACTTCTAACACACATCCACCAAAAGCACCATCTAGGTTAAACTTCTTCATAAAAAGCTGGAAATGTTTCGTAAATAAATGACCAAACAATCTAATGTCGTTAATGTGGTGCTAGCTGAAACTTGAATAGGAGAGGATATCCTTGACGATAAATTACTAATCCACCTACACCACTAATAATACGCTCATCCTCATAGAAGAGATTAACGCCATTCCTCAGGGAACAACCAATTATTACATTTCCTTGTCGAGCAATATGCAACTCGGCACACCATTGTTTAAGTTTGTGGCGGATTAGAACAACAGTACTTGGCTGCATACGTCGAAAATAAATACTTGCAAACGATGCAGGAACAACCTGTACAAATTATCAATTTTTAAAAATTAGCCCTCACAGACCATTTGCATACCTCAAAAACTGAAGACCAATAAACAAAAAATAATTAGACTTTACAATTACACATACAAGAGTTCCTTCACTGATGTATGGAGCACGGAAAATAGCTTTGAAAGATGGATAAGAACATCTTTGTTGCATAAGCCTTAAATGGACTCCAACCTCTGATCTACTTAATGGAAGTATTCTTGCATTTGTAGCACTTCGTGGTATCAATGTTGCTGGATATGTCTTTTCTTCACCATGAGAGGCATATATTCTGGTATGAAATACGCTATTACCTTTGAAATACATTATTAACGTGTCTCCAACTTCAATATCATTATTTTCGATGAAGTTTTCCCACCCTTCATCCATATGCATGTTGCTAACTTCATTACCATTCACAACTTTGTGAATAGTCACAGGCCATGAGAAACCTTCTGCAACCCGATAGATGTTGACTACTTCGCACTGATTTGCTAAAACTTGATGATATCGACCAGGAATTTCCTCAAGACAAATACACAAGCAGTAAACCAATTAGTAATCCATTAAACATAGGTGACTGAAAAGCATTTTACTGTAAACAACATCCCATACTACTGATTTCTGATGTTCTTGATCAATGCTTATAACCCATTTCATTATTGCATTATTGGCTGCCTGCATAAAAACAGCACACCAAATACATATATAAGAAAAACTTAAAGATTGGAATAGTAGAATAGATATCTTTCTCTACTAAGCTTAGTAAGCATACCATTATCATTCAGTAATACTATCTCTTGAAGCAAATCTCAGCACCTTTTATATTCAGACACTCCAGCAAAGCTTAGTAACAATA